GATGATGATGATGATGATGATGATGATGATCATGGTGAAGACAACCACGCCGGCGCCGCCGCCACCGCCCGCCAGCCTGCCCGCCCGCCCGCCCGCGCGCGCGCGCGCCCGCTCGGGCACGCTACGTGGCTACGCTGGGGGAGCGAAACAAATACTCTTCAACTCTCCCTTGCCACGTGGCAACGCTCGGAAGGGGGGAACAAACGGTACTCCAATGTACTCGCCACGTGGCAGCGCCTGAGCACGTGGCAACGAAGCAGGCGGGGAACTCATGCTACTCCGCTCTTACTCGCCACATGGCAACGCCGCGTGGCAAGACCTGGGAGGCAAAAAAAATACTACCCCACTCCAACTCTCCACGTGGCAATGACGCAGGGAACGAACAGGAAAACCACCTCCGCTGTACCCATCACGTGGCAATACCGCGGCGAAATCTTCTGGGCAACTTTTTCCGAGAGGGCTTGTTCTGGGGCGAGTTCACCCAGGCGGCATGGGAAGCGAACGAAAAGTATATTTGCACTCCACTCATCACGTGGCAATGCCGCGCGGACCGAACATATTGTACACTCCCACTCTACTCACCACGTGGCAGCGTCTGCGGGAGGAAATAATTATTCCATTCGGTTCGCCACGTGGCAACGCCGCGGGGCGGGAGCACATGGAGCGCCACTCCGTTCGCAACGGGGCAACGGCAGGCCGGCGAACAAGATACAACACAATTTGCGCGCAATGTTGCCAAACCGCACAGCTGCGTTACTTTCAACGTGGCAACGCCCGGAGGCGAACACCAGACGCTACTCGGCTCATGGCTCCAACGCGGACGAAGACGACGCTGATGACGACGACAACGACGAGAACGACGACGACGACGCACGACGCAGACGACGACGACAATCACAACGACATCGACGACGACGATGATGCTGCTGATGATGATGAGGGTGGTGATGCTGATGATGCTGATGCTGATGCTGATGCTGATGATGCTGATGATGATGATGATCATTATCATGATAATGATGATGCTGCTGCTGCTGCTGATGATGATGATGATGATGATGATGATGATGATGATGATTACGCCGCCGCCCGCCAGCCAGCACGCCCGCCGGCCCGCCCGCCCGCCCACCCGCGGGCTCGCCCGCCCGTCCGCGCGCGCGCGCCCGCTCGCGCACGCCACGTGGCTACGCCAGGGGGGCGGAACAAATACTGCTCCACTCTCCCTCGCCACGTGGCAGCGCTCGGAAGGGGGGAACACATAGTACTCCACTGTACTCGCCACGTGGCAGCGCCTGAGCACGTGGCAGCGAGGCATGCCGGAAACTCATGCTGCTCTACTCGACTCGCCAGATGGCAACGCCACGTGGCAAGGCCTGAGAGGTAAACCGAAATACTATCCCATTCAACTCGCCACGTGGCAACGACATCGTTCGTCCTCGACCTCTGTTCCTCCTTCCTCCCCGTCCTCCTCCATCTCCTTCCGTTCCTCACACCTCCCCCTCCTCCCTCCTCCTCCACCTCTTCGCTCTTCCTCCCAGGCCTTCTATCCTCCCCTCCTCCCCCTCCCTCCTCCCTCCTCCTCCTGCCCCTTGCCTCCTTTCCGATTTTCTCCCTCCGCCTCCGTCCTCCTCCCTCCCTCCTCTCACCTCCTCCTTCTGCTCCCTCCGCCCTCCTCCCTCCTGCCTTCTCCCTACTGCCCCCCCCCTCCATCCTCGTTCCTCTGTCGTCTTCCCTCCTCCCTCTACTCGGCACGCGGCAATGCCTGCGGAGCGGAAATTGCAACTATTCACTGTACTCGCCACGAGGTAAAGGCCAAGGGGGCGAACGAATGTGCTACTCCACTGTCCTCGCGACGTGGCAACGCCTGCTGAACTGACAAAATATGATTTCGCGCGAATTGCCGGGTGGAAGCGACTGGGGAGCGAAACTCTAAGTGCTCCACGCTACGACTAACGCCTGCGAGGCGGAACACATGTGTTTTCACTCTACTCGCCACGTGGCAACGCCGGGGGAGCGAAACAAATACTGCTCAACTCTCCCTGCCACGTGGCAGCGCTCCGAGGGGGGAACACATACTACTCTATTGTACTGACCACGTGGCAGCGCCTGCGGGGCGAAACAAACGTACTCCACTTTACTCGGCACGTGGCAACGAAGCGGGCCGGCAACCAATGCCATTCCTTTGCACTCGCCACATGGCAACACCACGTGGCAAGGCCTGAGAGGTATACAGAAATACTATCCCACTCCACTCGCCACGTGGCAACGACATGGGGAGCGAACAAGAACTCAAAATACACACAACTCATCACGTGGCAATGCCGCGCGGACCGAACGGATTGTACACTCCCGCTCTACCCGCCACGTGGCAGCGTCTGGGTGGGGCATTCGGTGGAGCTCCCAATTGGTCCAGGGAACGTGTGATGGGTGTGCCAACATGGGTGCGGTGGCGCCATGCGAACCCTGCCAGTGGGGCCTTGGGTAGAGCCTACCATGAGGCCACGAACCATGTGAGAGGTGTGCCGACATGGGTGCGGTCAGGCAAATGCGAACCCTGCCACTGTGGTCTTCGGTCGAGCTCCCTATGGAATCTCGAAAAGCGGGAGGAGTGTGCCGGAATGGGCGCGGTGGCGCCATGCCAGCCCTGCCACTGGGGCCTTCGGCGGAGCTGCCTATGAGGCCGCGAACAGGTGAGAGATGTGCCGAAATAAATGCGGTAGCGCCATGCACCCTGCCACGAAGGCCTTCAGCGGAGCTCCCACTGGGGCCACGAAACGTGTGAGTGCGCAAAAATGAGCGCATTGGCGCCATGCGAACTTCTTCCAGTCGACTTCTTCCTGTCGACTTCTTCCAAACGACTTCTTCCGAACGACTTCTTCTGGACGACTTCTTCTGGACGACTTCATCCGGACGACTTCTTCCGGACAACTTCTTCGTAACGATTTCTCCTAGACGATTTTTTCTGGACGACTTCGTTTAAACGACTTCTTCCGGACGACTTCTTCCAGACTGCTTCTTGCGAGACGCCTTCTTCCGGACGACTTCTTCTGGACGACTTCTTCTGGACGACTTCTTCCGAATTCCTTCTAGCGAACGCCTTCTTTGTCGTCCTCCTCCTATCCCTCCTCTTCTGTCTCCGCCGCACCGATATATCACGAGAAGAATCTCCGTCTCGACGACTTCTTTTGGACGACTTACTCCGGACCACTTCTTCCGGAAACGACTTCTTCCGCGACGACTTTTTCAGGACTACTTTTTCCGGGACACTTCTTCCGGACGACTTCTTCTGGACGACAATTCTTCCGGAAGAAGTCGTCGCGGAAAAAGTCGCCGTCTCCCTTGTGGAGTGGAGAAAGAGCCACACCTGCCCCGCCCCGCGAAGCTGGGACGGATAGAGACCGCGGTGAAGGGCCACCCCCTGCGCACCTCCTGTGGTATGGAGAAAATGCCACGCCTGGCGCTCCACGCGACCCTGGGAAGGGTGGAGACCACGGTGAGGGACCACCCCATGCGCACCCCCTGCGACGTGGAGAAAGTGCCACGCCTGCCACGCCCTGGACGACCGGCGAGGATAGGGGGATCACCCCGTGCGCACCGAGAGGTGTGTCTGATGCACGGTGTGTGTGTGCGTGGTGTCTAATGTGTGGTGTGTGTGGTGTGCGCTTTTGTGCGTGGTGTGTGTGTACTGTCTGATGTGTGTGGTGTGGTGTTTGAAGTGTTGTGTCGTGTGATGCATGTCTGACGTGTGATGTGTGTACGGTGTGTGTGGTGTGGTGTGTGTGTGTGCGGTGTTGTGTTGTCTGGTGTGTGTGTGTGTGTGTGTCTGAAGTGTGCGTGTCTGTGTGTGTGTGTGTGTGTGTGCGTGCGTGCGTGCGTGCGTGCGTTCGTGCGTTCGTGCGTGAGTGCTTGCGTGAGTGCGTGCGTGCGTGCGTGCGTGTGTGTGTGTGTGTGAATGTGCGTGTGTGTGTGATGTGTGTGTGTGCCGTGTGTTCGTCGTGTGCGGTGTTTGTGGTGTGCACGACGAGGAGGAGGGGAGAAGAAGGAGACGCAGGTGCGATGCGGGAGTGGAGAAAACCACAACCCCACTTAGCATGTGGGAAAACACACGCACACACACACAAATACACACGTCCGAGCGATGCCAACCGCAAACATCCCAGCATCCCCTCGTGGGCGCGCATGAAATGGCGGGGGCGGCGATACATGAGGGGGGGGAGAGAGGTGCCCTTTTCGGGCCCTCAAGGCCCCCGCTTGGGCCCGAAAGGGGCCCCTGTAGGGACCCCACTGGGCCCCGTTTCGGCAGCCCTCGCGGCCCCTCCATTTTATCGCCCCAACCCCAGGCATGCGACGTCCTGGTGTTTTCAATACGGGGTCCCCGGAAGCCCCGACCCATTCCCTGGGACCGGCTTTTCGTCCTGAGCCGTTTTTGACGGTCCCAGGGTCCTGCGAGGCCCCCCCGAGGGGCCTGACGGTGCACTGAAGCCTCGCGTCGTGATTTTTGTTCACGACGCGATGCCTGCGATACTTACTCTAGATCTCGTAAGAAAGGGAGGGGGGTCTCACTTCGGGGGGGGGCTCTTCCAGGCTATCTTGCAGGGCCTGGGGGGTCTGGGGACGATGTTTTGGAGGGTTCTCCCACGGGGGAGGTCTGAAATTTGGACGCCCGAAATGGGTACCGAAAGAATGGGTACAATGCCCAACAGCAAATGTTGTCCCAAACCAACAGCGGCCGCTGTTGGGCGGGCGGCCTCCTGTCTCGAATGTGCACAGGCCGCGGCGGCGTGGACAGCGAATCCTGTTCAGAATGAACAAGAACTGCTGTTGGGCATCGTACCCATTCTTTCGGTACCCATTTCGGGCGTCCAGATGAAATGGCTTGTCGTGAAGGGTCCAGACCTCCTCCCTTTTGTTACGAAATCTGGAGCACGCGCCCCCCTGCCTCGTGACGCTGCTCTTGGCCCGGGGAGGCCCTGTGGAGCGGGGGCCCCTGCCCCGGCGACCCGGCCAGTTGCCGGGCCGGTCGCGCAGCGCGGGCGGGCCCGCGAGGGCGCCGCCCACCTCCTGGAGAGGGGGGGGGACAGGGAGGAGGAGGTTGCCTGAGGAGGAGGAGGTTGCCTGAGGAGGAGGAGGAGGTTGCCTGAGGAGGAGGAGGGAGGAGGAGGAGAGGGAGAACGAGGAGGAGGAGAATAGTAAATAGTAGGATGGTCAGGGGAGGAGAAGGAGGAGAAGGAGACGAACATGAGAACAACAGGGAGGAGGAGGAGGAGGAGGAGGAGGAGGAGGAGGAGGAGGAGGAGGGCAGGCCTGGAGAACAGAGAAGGGCGGGGGGGGGGAAGAGGAGGAGGAGAGAGAGGGGGCAGGAGGCAAGCTGGGTGCGCAGGCGCCGCAGCTGACGTCCTGCCCCTCCCTCCGATCCCATGCTGTGGCGTAGTTCTCCTCTTTATTCACACAGCCAGATGCTGGGCAGGGCCATGACCCCGAGAGGGTACGAGATGCATGGCAGTGCACGGCGTACCACGGCGTAGAAAAGAGCACGGCAGAGCGTCGTCGGGCCGAGAGCACGACGCCTGTTCGACAACAAGTTCTGAGGGAAACCAGGCACTCGCCATCGCTCGGACGTCCATTCCCTGTTTTTTTCGGTTTCGTGCGCGGCTTTTTCGCCAAATGATCAAGGATGCTCCTCGATAGTCCTCGACGAAGGAAAAATGCACACGTCCGAGCGATGCCAAGGGCATGACGCAGGGCGGAAATCGAAATGCACGGTGTGGAAGCACCAGAACCCTAACATGAGAGCCAGCGCTGGTCGAGAACATGACCCATTTAGACAACAGGTTGTGGGAGAAACCAGATGTGACGCAAGACGAAAAACGTAAAAGGACGGTTCGGAAATAATGGAACAAAATGCAAACCAACGCTGCAACGGGAACACGTTTTTGAAGATCCGCTACAATGAAATTAGGTCAGCGCTGCAGCGGGAGTATGATTTGGAAGGACTGAGAGCTGGAACATGAAGCCAACGCTGTAGCGGGAATGCCAGTCTAGAAGCACAGAAGACGGTCGGAGTGGAAAAACACATAAGATCGAACACCGCTGGGGAATCCTATGTGTGAAGGCAATACGCGGAGCGGGGAAGGCCAAGACCTCGGGGTCTTTCGGGGAGGGAGGAGAGTAGTATTCAGATGTATGTACTTCTAGAGAGAGAGAGAGAGAGAGAGTGAGAGAGAGGGGGGGAAGGACAAGCTACAAGCTAGGTGTGCAAGCGTCATCTCATCTCACACGTCCTGATTCCTGCCTCCCATCCCTTACCATTGCGCACATATCCTCACTATTCACAGGGACGGATGTCGAACAGGGCAATGATCCCGAGAGAGCACGCGAGGCATGGTATAGCACGGCGTAGCATGGCCTCGCGTCTAGAACACGACTCATATCGACAACATGGTCAGAGGAAAACCCGAAATGACACAGGATGGGGAATGCAAATGGACGGTTTGGAAAGCGCGAGGCGCATAATGAGATCAGCGCTGCAGCGGGAGCACGATTTCTAATGACCGGAACCGTGGAAATGATACCAGCGCTGCAGTGGGAGTACGATTTGAGGGACTGGAAGCGGGGGGGGAGAAGCCAACGCTGCAGCAGGAGCACGATCTGGAAGAACCGAAACAATGACATGAGGTCAGAGCTACAGCGGGAACATGACTTGGAAGGACTGAGAACAAGAAAACGGAGCCAACGCTGCAGCGGGAGCTCCATTCTGGAAGAGCCGGCGTCTTCGGGGGAGAGATTGTGGGGAAAGAGAGAGAGAGAGAGAGAGAGAGAGAAAAAAAATAAATCAAGGGGCCAGTTCCGCACAGGCCTAGAGAAGGGTGGGTGGGGTGGGGGGCAGCGTGCGTGCAGGAGGAGGAGGCGGACCCAGAGTTCCGAGGCTCCGACCAAAAATGGCGCAACCTTTGTTTGGCCGTGTGCGGCCACTGCGGCACCTTCAGCGGGCCCTGGGACCATTAAACACGACTACGGAAGAAAAGCTGGCCACATAGGGAAGCGCCAGATGTCTCCGAAGGCGGAAGATGAGGAGGCTGACGACTAGTAAGAAGAATCCGACTGTGTCTCGCGCTACCCTCTGTAATATATATATATATATATATATATATATATACACAGAATGTCAGGAGGACGACGACGACAAGGAGGACGACGACAAGAAGGATGAGAGAGGGAGGAGAGAAGGAGGGAGAGGAAAAAGGAGGAGGAGGAGGGGGAGCACAACGACAGGGAGAAAGAGGGGTCGAATGTCTAATTACTGTTGTGCCAAGGGGTTCCAGCTGCTGCTGCCCTCGAAGCTCCCCTCGAGAGAAAAAACCCAAGCGGAGGCAAGGGCTCCGATGGAGAGAGCACAGGGGGGCGCATTGACACACAACGGGGCGGCAGTAGGCAGCGCACGCCTGCGCCAGGGCGCGAGCATCCCTGCGGGGACAGGACGTGCAGGGAGATGAGGGAACAGGAGGGGGGGCAAAAGATGAAGAGGGAGGAGGCGGGACGATGAGGCGGAAGAAGGACTTGCCATCGCTCGGGCGTTCATTCCTCGTGCGTTCGTCGGTCTCGCATGTGCTTCCTCTGCGTTGGCCACATGACCCACAATGCTCCTCGATGGCCCTCGCCAGGAAAAAATACACACGCCCGAGCGATGCCAAGAAGAAGGTTGGGGGAACGAGCGCGGGTGCCGGGTCCAACTGAGGAGAATGAATGGGGCGCACAAGAATATACTAGTAGGACGAGAAGAATATATTGACCCAGCGTGCTATTGATACGTTCCGGGAATTCCGGGATTTCTAACAGCCTTCGCGCGGGGTACACTTTGCGCCGAATGTTGTCTACTCTGGCTGGCGCCGCTGGTCGGTCCCCCATTTGCAATCGAACGGTCGCCCGTAAGGGGATATTTGGCACTTGCTGATCCCCCTTCTCGTTGCCGAGCGTGGGGGGGACGATGGCGCACCGTCCGATCGCCCGCCTCCGCGCACCGCGCGCCTCGGCGAAGTTCCAAAAACCTGGTAAGGCAAATCACGCGCGACTCTGGAACATTCTCCGGGGATAAATTTGAAAAGCAAATCCGGGGGCGTTTCTGAAAATAGCGGGCCAAAATGTTTGAAACATACCGGAGTCGAATTTGAAAAATGTCGGGGTCGACTTTGAAAAATTCCGGAACCCATTTTGAAAAAATCCGGATTTCAGAATTCTTCAGATGTCCTGCGCGGCGGGCGCATTCCACCCCTCAAAACTGTTTTTGGGGAAATTCCTGGGCCCCTTTCTCAAAAATTCCGGAACCGCTTGCGCCAACAAAAAAAGCGGAAGCGCTTTCTGAAAACATTCTCCAATCCAGAAATGATTTCCAAGCGGTCCGACGGGCGCGGCTGGCTGATTCACGCACCGCGCCGCGCGCGATTGGGCGCCGCGAGTTGCGCCCGCGAACAGCACTCGAAAGGGTTGCCTCGAAAACATCGCCACAGCAGCTGCTACTCGCGGACTCCCCAAGAGCAACACAGCATGCAGCCTGGAATCTCCGACGGCGCTCCGATGCGCGAAAAATGCACCGCGCACATCACGCAAAAAACCTGCGCGACGGAATGCGCTCGACCATTTGTCCCTGGAGCCCGCGCGGAAGAACAGGACAGCCTGGAAATCTTGAAAACTATCCATATGAATACTTCATGCTCCTTTGAACTAGTACTATGTGTCCTCCTCGGAGTCGTGCAACCGACCCGAGCACACATTACGAACATCTTGTAGAAAACCGTTTCCCGAGCGGTATGGCCAGAAGGCGACCGGCGACCGCCATGGAGCTTAGACTACAAGACTTCTCGGCGTGCGCGTCGCCCCCAGGGATGGGGGGACGACGCACACAGAAAGCGCCGAAACAAAAAGCCCGCCGCTGCACAGAAGAACCGATGCCAAGAGAAGTGCCGCCCCTGCCCTAGGCGGCGCCCACAATATCGTACTCGCCGCATCCGGCCGCCCAACCGCATTGGTGGGCGCGCCATGCGCCACAGGTTGCCATGCGTTGCGAAGCAGACGCTGCGGTCTTCGGAAAAGAGCAACCCTCGCAGGGAGAAGGACCCTCTGGACGGGCTGGAGGTCTCTGCCGGACCATCGCTGAGGCTGCTGCTTTGAGAATTCGCGCGTGCACACACGAACACATCTGGGCCCAGGCTCCGCAAAACGCAGCCGTTGAACTTTTCTGGCCGGCTCGGGTGACAAAGTCTGAATCAGAAAAAGCACACACCGTGACCGGGCCGCCAGTTGCCACTGAGCGGTGGACAGTCACAGCATGCCATACTGGACACGCTCCTGCCCCCGATCTGAGCGACCACAGTCGGAATGTCTCCGTGCTCTCACCTTCCGCGCGCTCTGCGAGGGGCGCGGTGCCGCCTCGCGCAGAGATGGAGCCGGCGCGTCCCGCACAAGCCGGCCGGCCTGCTGACCGAGGAAGCCAGCCAAGCCACCCAGCGAGCAAGCAAGCCAGCAAGGCAACACAACCTGCCAGCCAACCAGCCGACCAACCGACCGACCAACTTGCCATCGCTCGGGCGTCCATTCCCCGTGCATTTTTCGACTTCGTGCGTGCATTTTTCGCTAAATGATCAAAGATGCTCATCGATGGTCATCGCCGAGAAAAAATGCACACGCCCGAGCGATGCCAAGCCAACCAACGGACCACCCTGCAGACCACCTGGTCAACCCGATCAGCCAACGGGCAGACCAACCGCCAGGCATAGCTTCTCAAATGGTTAGCGACATAAGCATTGCACGACTGTTGTCTGAACAAAGGCTGGCAACTGTTAAGACCCGTCCCCAGGGAAAGCTGAGGAGAAGAATGGAAGATGAAGAGGAGGTGGAGGGCCTCCTTCTCCTCCTCTCGGCGACTCCAAAGGGTGTGGTTTGCAAAGGGCGTGGTTTGCAACGGGCACCCTGGGGAATATCCTAGGGGGTACCCTGGGGGGCGCGCGGGGAACTCGATAGAGTTTTGCCCGCGCCCCGAGGAGGCCCGACGAGGACAGTGGCGTGCCCCCCAGGCCCCAACGGTGCCGATCGCAAACAACACCCCGGCGCAACCATACCTTCTGTAGTCGCCGATCCTCGTCCTCCTCCGCCCTCATCATGCCAAGGTCCCTCTGAGGGGGGAGCTTTCAGGAGCGCGGAGCAAAAGGGACACCACGACGGCAAACCACGACCGCGACGACAACGCCAACGACTACGACGACGGCGAAGGCGACCACGAAGGTCGACGACGACGACGACGACGACGACGATCACCGCGACGACGACCACCACCACGGCGACGGCGGCCACGACGACGGCGGCCACGGCGACGACTGAGACGACGACGACGACCACTGCGACGTTCAGAACGACCACCGCGACCACGACGACGTCCACGACCGCGGCGACGATCGACGACCCCGGGCCCGCGGCAGGTCCTCGGCGCCCTCCGCGGGCTGCCCGCCGCGCGCCTCGCCGGCCCCCACGGGCGGCGCCTCAAGCCCGAGCCGCACGGCGCACGCGCGGGCGGCCGCGAAGCCGCCGCTGGCGACCGAGACGTGGCGCAGGGCGAGCTGCTCCGTGAGCACCTCGGGGAGCGCCGGCCACGACGCGGAGTTCGAGGTGTTCGAACGTTCCCGTCGGTTCACGGAAAATTTCCTGCCTCGGGATGCGTTCCAACAGCTTCGCTTCGCCGAGATGCGTTCGGGGGTGCACGGATTGTCCCGACCGGTCGCCGGAGACCCGAGCTATGACCCGCCAACCACGTCCGTGCGTTGTAAATCTTCAACACTGGGCGTTCTTGCCTAGATCCGGGCCCGGGGGCCACCACAGATCGCTCGTGCTCCACAAATTCCGCAAACAGTTGGTGACTAGGGCTGCGGTCGCGACTTGTCGCAGCGCTGTGTTTTGCTGTGAAGCCGCATCTCCGGGGACGACGGCGGCGGCCACGACGGCGGCGAGGACGACGACGGCGGCAGCGGCACGGAGGACACGGACGACCTCGTACAGTGCCCAGGCGAGCTGCGCGTCCCCAGCGGGGCCGATCAGGCACACGTGGGTCTCGCGGTCGCGGGCCCAGTCCTGTCGGAGGGCCGCTGTCGAGACAGCGCCGCGGCCTTCTGCCAGGCGCTTATCAAGCTTGCTGTGGACCTCCCAGGGGGGGAGGCTCTCGCCGCCAGACGACCCAAGGAGGGGAGGGCGAGGAGGGGGAGGAGGAGGAGGAGGAGGAGGGGGAGGAGGAGGAGGAGGAGGAGGAGGAGGAGGAGGAGGAGAAGATGGAGGAGGAGAGGAGGAAGAGGAGGAAGAGGAGGAGGAGATGGAGGAGGTGGAGGGGAGGGGGGAGGGGGGAGAGGAGGAGGAGCAGGAGGAGGAGGAGGAGGAGGAGGAGGAGGAGGAGGAGAAGTGGACGAGGACGAGGAGGAGGAGGAGGAGGAGAAGGACGGGTCGCCTAAGCCCTTCGGAGAGACCCCCCAGCTTGAGCCGCGTCGCACAACGGGTCAGGATGCGCCCTGGGAGGGGGCCTGGCACCGATCTCGAGCGGATTCGGACCGCAGGGAAGGAAGCATCGACGACGGGCGGTGGACGACACAGACGACGGAGACGACGACGACGGAGACGATGACGACGACGACGACGACGACGACGACGACGACGACGACGACGACGACGACGACGGCGGCGGCGGCGACGACGGCGACAGCGACCGCAACGACGACGACGACGACAAAGACGATGACGATGACGATGACGACGGAACGGCACGGACGGACGGCGGCAACGAGGTCCTCCCCGAGGGCGTCCTTCAAGAGGGGCAACAAAAACTGCACAAACATATTTCAACTGTGGGAGCTCCGCGCGGACTTTTTGGATCTGCGCTGCGCCGGGTCCGCCTCCCTGGCGGGCGGAGTGCGCTTGGGGCGGAGGCGCCGCCAGCGCGGCCCCAGCACCGATCCAAAAACTCCGCGCGGACTTCCGACAAATTGCAGTCGAGCTTTATCAGAGAGGTCACGCGAGAGACGTTCCGAGGGCCACATTGCCATCATCAAGAACGTGGCAGGCATGGGCCGCGAAACTCTGGACACGAGGGCACCCTGCAGGTGGCAGGGCGAAGACCCACCGATCAAGCTCGACTGCGTACGTATGCCAGCGTGCTCCCTTCGACCTTCAGCGCCATGAACACGCGCAGCGGGTCGAGCCCGCCCGCGCCCGCATCCCAGATCGACGGCCGCCGCCGCGGCGCCGCCGCGGGCCCGCCGCCGGGCCCGCCGCCCTCCGCGGGCGGCCCGAAGTGGAGGGCCGCGGGCAGCCGCGCCGCCTCGGAGTGCCGCCGAGTGCGGCGGCGGGCGGCGGCTGCGGCGGCGGACGACGACGGCGGCGGCGGGCGGCCGCGGCGGGCGGCGGCGGCTGGGCGGACGTTGGCGGGCGGCGGCGGCCGGGCGGACGACGGCGGCGAACGGAGGCGGCGGCTGCGGCCGGCGGCGGCGGTGTCGTCGGCGGCGGCGGCGGTGCCGCTGCGAGGACGGAGCGCGACGGACGGAGGATGAGGCCGATGGCGGCGGACGACGGACGACGCCGACTGCGGGGGACGACGCCGAGTGCGGCGGACGACGACGGCGGCGGCGACGAGGGCGGCGGATGCGGCGACGGTGACGGCGGCGGCGGCCGCGATGAGGGCAGCCGCGTCGCCTCAAAGGCCGACTGCGGTCTCAGGTCTTCATGGGGAGCAGAAAGCAGCGCGGGCATGATTGAGCGGACGTGTTGGGTCGGCGTCGGAGCCACTCATCACACTGCCGAAACCATCCCCAGAACTCCGCGCGATCGCGCGCTTGAGAAGATGGAGGTCAACCGCCAACCCTAAAAATCTGCGCGGACCTCCGAAAATCCTGCTCCCAGCAGGTTTCACTTCGCGACGACGATGCCCGTGGCGACACAAACAACAAATCCGACTCAAACTGGGCTAGAACTGCTGCCAAATTTCGTCCCCATTCCTTCCGTACGCACCCATCCTTTCCGTACCCAGTCTTTCCGTACCCATTCCCAATCTGGCCCCCTGAGAGGTCCCGATCTCTTCCAAAGGGGTACTTGTTCGCCCGGGATCAAGTGTCGATTGCCCCAGGCCGCGACAACAGGCTGGGCCGAAGTCGAGGGAAAGCACGCGGACTGAAAAAACAAATCGTCGGAAACATGGGTGACCTTCGGAGCAGGGCGAGTCGAGACAGCGGCAGCTCGAACTCGGTCTCCGGACCCCCTTCCGGGGCCCCAACGCAACAACTTTCTGAGCTGCGCCCAGCCGTGGCGACGAGAAAGCCCTCCGAAGGTCAACTACCCCTGAGATCCGACGCTACGGAAAAGTATCCCAGCAAAGCACCCCAATAGCAGCAACGTTGAAGAGGCGGGTCCAGGAGAAGGTCGGCTAGGAAAGACGTGCACTCCTACGTAGTATTCCTAGGGATTCGCAGGAAACCACGGCGATGTGCACCTTCGTGTCTCTGTTGCCGGGGATCGTGGCCGTCCAGACCAACAGTGAAGCTGGCACCCGGGCGGCACACACACACACTCTGGATGAATATGTGAAGACTAAGACGTCGCAGGCGAAACGGCTGCCAGACCAAACGCCCTCGGGCTCCACGTCCCCAGGGTGGGGCTCGTCTGTGATCCTTCCCTGCCACTCGCAGGGCCCCCCCGGCGAACCGCCACTGGGGAAGAACTGCAGCACCTGCGCTCGTGCGGCTGCTCGGAAAGCTGGTGCGCCTGGGCCCTCAACCCCGGGGGCCCAGACGCGCCAGCTTTCCGAGCTGCGCGAGGGGGCACACCGAAGGCCAAAGTACCCCCGAGATCCGACGCTGCAAACAGATTGCAGTACCTGCGCTCGGCGACTCCGAAGGGTGTCGTTTGCCAAAGGTGTGGCTTGCAATCCGCGCCTTGGGGGGGGCGGGCGAAGACCTCGACAAGGATCTCTGCCGCGCTGAGCGAGAGCTCAGCAAGCCTGTGGGACAACATGGCCACCCTCCAAGCCGCAGCGGCGCTGGTCGCAAACCACGCGCTAGCGTAAACGCACCCGTTGTAGTCGCGACGCCGCGAGTCCCTGGACCTCTCCCGGGGTGCATTCTGAGCCAGGATTTCGAGGCGAATCCAGCCGTGGCGACGAGGGCCTCCCAGAAAAACGGCGAAGGTAGCCGTATCGGTATGGGTACCTCTCCTTTGAGCTCTTACCGGGAGTTGGCGGGAGTGGGTTTAGTGGGACCTGGTTTCGTGGTGTGCACCGCGGAACGCGCCCCCGCTGCGGGCAAGATTTACATCCGCATCTACTGCGCCTGTGACTTCCTGGGAAGGGGCAAAACAGAAGACCGAGGTGCAGTGGATGCGAACAGAAGTCTTGCCTCTGGGGGCCAGGTGTTCACTCAAATCCAGTGCGCATATGGATTCTGGGGAAGGGCGCTAGAAACTCCAAGTGGCAATGGATTGAGCAGAGGCCGACCGTCCCGGCATTCCGATCGTCCTACCACGAAGTGTTCTTAGAATCCAAAACAAATTCTACTAACATAAACAAGGTTCTTAGAACATAAGCCGATGTGCTAAAACAAAGCAGTCTCAGCCAGACATGTTTTAAGAACATTTCGTGCGGACCACAAAACGTGATTAAAACATTATGTGATGGGCATATAGGCGTGCCAAGACGCTTCGCAACTGCTTGAGTGGAAATGGAACCACATCTTGCCCGCACCCCAGCCCCGCTTCACTGACAGGAACCGCCGTCATCCGAAGAAACACCAACTATGGCAGGCTTGGTTCAGAGACCTGCCCTCGTGCTGCCGTCCTGCGCTCGTTGGGGGGTAAAAGAACAGGTCCCCAACAAGGGGTCTTCAATGGGTGCCAAATGGCCCATCTACGGCGTATTGGCATGATGCAGCATGGTTGGCAACCACTGCGCGTGAACATATTGAGGCGGGAATGCAACGCTCGAGGGCTGTCCTTTGGCGGTAACGCAGCGCCCATTGTCGCTGGCACAAGCATAAAGGAATCCACGCTTTGCGAACAAAAAACATGTGAATTCTCGTGTCCGACAAACGCGCTTGGGAAACAAAACGCAAAATGTGAATTCGCAGTGTCGAAAACTCATTTAAAACAAAAAACGTTCAAAGCGCCCTGGGCGATGACCCGCGACGTAGCAAGTCGGGCAACGATGGCTGGGAGATGCGTCACCGCTAACGCACAACGCTCGAGCGTCGCATCCCTGCCTCCAAATCCCAACAGTAGTGCTTACCAATCATACCAGAGCCTTCGAACGGGCAATCCATAAACCATAGCTGGGCACATGCAGCACCCGTTGAAGGCCCTCTGTTGCGGACGCTTTCTTTCACCCTCCGAGCTCGTGCTGCTATCCGCCCCCCCGGTCCAGTGCGACCATCCGCCAGGGGCAGGCCGGCGAGGGCTGCCAGGAGCGCCGGGCCTCGCTGGCACTCGGCGGGTAGCAGTGGCCGACGACCTCCTCCGGCAGGACGAAGAAGCAGCGCTCCCGCTCCAACCTCTCTTCTCGGAGGGCGGTGGGGAAGGATAGAGCGGGACGAAGAGGGGGAGGGACGTGGGGAGGGTGTAGGGGGATGAATGGGGGGGGAAGGAGGTGGACTATCAGTTGGACGATGGGGGGCTGTGAGGGGGGGGGGAGGGGGGGTACTGTGAGGGGGGACCGAGGAACTACGATAGGGGGACTATGCGGGGGGGACTATGTGTGGGGGAGGGTGAAGGAAGAGGGGAGCAAGGGGCGGAAGAGAAAGAGGAACAGTCGGTTGGGTTCACGAAGTAGCATCCATTGGCCGATACCCAGGGCTGAGAGAATGCGGCGGGGGGGTAGAGGGGAACGAAGAGGGGGGAGGGCAAGCTGAGGTGCGCTCGTCCCACCCATCCCCGCCCATGCCGCTAATGCATCCAGTATTCGCGGACGCATGTCATAGCGGACCTGCTATTCTAAAAGGCACCCCATCGTGTCACGTGCAATCGGAACATATTTTTCGTCGGCGGCGAGGCAGAGGCAGTCCGCTCCAGCGCGTGGCAAAACACAATCGGAACAAGAAGGCTGCGCACTGCGTACATTGGAGGAGGAAGTGGCCGATGAGCAGGAGGGGAAGGAGGACGAAAGATGAGGACGAACAGCAGCAGCAGCAGCAGCAGCAGCAGCAGGGCAGGAGTGGAGGAGCGGGAGGATGAAGCTGGAGTGAAAGGAGTGGGAGGAGCAGGTCTATGGGGAAGGCGGAGGAAGAGAAAGGAGCGATGGGGGGGGGCAATGATGAGGAAGGACTCGGATCCACAAACGTGGCCTGCGCTGGAGCGAGAGTGCCATTCTGAACGACGGGAGCAAAACGCTCGCCCTACAAGAAGGCCCACGCTGCAGCGGGAACACCTCTCTGAGACACCAAAACGTTCCGATGGCAAAGGCTTGCAACAATAGAGCATGAACCCCCTGGTGTAGAACAAACAATACGCGGAGGGGGGCGGGCCACTCCCGGCCGTCCTCGGGGAAGAGTGGAGAGCAGCATTCATATGGAGTAACTGTAGTGCGGATGGTGCGGGGGGGATTACGGGTGGAGAAGAGAGGGAGCAAATAGCGGAGGAGGAAGAGGACTCGAACGGACAGTCGGTCGGGTTCACGAAGAGTCCCCCTTAGCAAATACCACGGGGCAGGGATGAACAAATGAAGGCTCCACTCATTCCGGGGGATGAAGAGGACCAGGTGGAGGAGAAGCAGGGGGAGGACAAGGGAGGAAAGGGTGCGGAGGCAGGGCGGGGGGTGGGGGGGAGGGAGGAAGAAAAGTGCAGAGAGAGGGGGAAGGAGGGAGCAAGAGCAACCCCCCCGCCGCCGCACTCCCCGCCGCTACTGCAGTCGTCGTCGGTCCGTCCTCATTACCTCTGAAGCTCCCTCGGAGCGTGCTCTGACCAGCACTTCGAATCGGACCCAACCGTGGCGACGAGAAGCCTCCAGGACACCAGAAGAAACCAATAAGGGCACACAAAAACATCAGCCCTCGAAACTCGACTTGTCGTCGAGCGAGCACTCTCGAAGTGGTCGGGCCAAACCTGTTCAAACTCGGTGCCAAAACCGCTCCGCGGTCCGACCTGGCCCAGCCAATGTTCCCAACCGCCGCGTGCCGCCGAAGCGACGGAAACCTTTGGGGTTAGGGGTCAGGCCAAGCCGAAGGCTGCGGCAACGAGAACGTCCAGAAACATCCACCTCGACGACATGACTTGCAGACACGCGGAGAAAAACTTTCGAACCGACGACAACGGCAAGGCCGACGACGACGACGCCAACGACGGCAACGACTATGACGACGACCACCGCCGTCATCGCCGGGCCTCTCGAGCCGGTTGGCGGCCCCCTCGTGGTCGTCGGGGTCCTCCTGGCCGCCGCCCGCGCACGGGGGGAGTCTCCGCCGGTGCCGCCGCTGTCGCCGCCGTCAGAGCCGCCGCGGCCGCTGCCTCCGTCTCTGCCGCGGCGACTGCGGCCGCCGGGGCGGCGGCGACGGCCACGGCGGACGGCGGCGGCGCCGTCTCGAACGCCGCCAGCCGCCCGCGCCGCCGTCGCCGCAGGGGGGCCCTCCTGGCCGCCGCCCGCGCGGGCCGCCCCGGGGGCCGCCTTTGGCTCGGCCGGGGGCCCGCGGGCGGCCGCCCCGCCTCGCGGGGGCCGCAGCGCGTGCCGCCGCAGGCGCGAGGCGAAGCTGGCGGGCGTCCTGCCCGCGGGGGCGCCGAGCGGCCGGCGGCGGCCGCGGCGACTCCGACGGCGGCGAGCGCTGCGACGGCGGCGACCGCGGCGACCGCGGCGGTCGCGGCGGCGGCGGTCGCGGCGACGGCGGCAACGGCGAAGCGACGGCAAAACGACGCCGGCTGGCGTCCTGCTGTGCAAGCCCTCGGCCAGGCCCCAGACCGTCTCCAGGTCCTCCCGGGCTGCACAATACCAAGGGAAGTGCAGGAGGACGAGCAGAATGGCGGAGGGAGGGTGGGGAGGAGGAGGCGGAGGAGGAGGAGGAGGAGGAGGAGACAAGGATGAGGAGGAGGAGGAGGAGGAGCAGGAGGAGAAAGAGGAGGAGGAGGAAATTTCCCAGACTTCCGAGGTCGAGGCACCAGGCCTATGGGAGAACGAGAACACCCGCGTCAGCCAAGCGCCGAAACCCGCCTCAGCCCAGTGTAGAAACACCCGCCTCGGCCTAGCGGAGCACCCACCTTAGCCAAATGACCTGCACCAGCAACTGGACCTCAAAACGCGAGCGTATCGGAACAAGTCCATGACATCCGTGCCCTACTTTCTAGCCTGAAGGGCCTCTCCCCTGGAAAAGGCACTTCCTCCTAAACTGCCCCAGAGAATCCGAGGAGGGGAAGGAGAGATTGAGGAGGAGGAGGAGGAGGAGGAGGAGGAGGAGGAGGAGGAGGAGGAGGGGGAACATCCTTCTCCCCTCGAAGAGGGGGAGGGGGGAGGGGGAAGGGGGAAGCGCCAGCGACCACCGCCAATATTACCACACCACCACGACCTCCACCACCACAGCACGCTCACCACCGGCATGACCACCGACGGAACGACCACCACCACGACTTGTGGATGCCATGACCATGGACACTCTAACAGGTAAATCGTTGAATTAAATACTATTAAACAATATGTTCTAGATGGTGTAAGGAGGAATTAAGCATGTTAAACGCAAGGCTTGAACCTGATCATTTTCACTTTAAAAGTTGCAAATACCTTTTTAGATATCGCGCTTCCTCTCCGATGATCGTCTTGCACAAGCCACGGTCAATTGCTTGACCACAACAACCGCCGCGCCCCCCCACACCCTTCTTCTCGGGCGAGCATGGGTGGGGGGCGATACATGGGGGGAGAAAGGTGCCCTTTGTGGACCCTGAAGACCCCCTCTGGGGCCCTAAAGGTCCCCTTAAAGGCCCCTTTCCTGTAGCCCTCTCCGCGCGCAAATGTATCGCGCCCAATCCTCTTTCTCTCTCCTTCTCTGCCGGGCCACCCCTGCCGCACCGCTCACATCACACGAGGCCGGCATTAGATCTTGGAGGCAACATCTCTGCGCTGCCGCCGTGATTTGCGCGTGCTTCTGCAATGTCGGCTGGAAGGCCGCGGCAGCTGCGATGGGCTCTGGGCATCCGCTCACGGTCGCTCCCTGAAGTCAGGTGGGGGCGCCAGTCCCGCTACGCGCCGTGAGGGGGAGGTGGGGAGGCGACGGGGGGGAGGAGGAGGACGAGGAGGAGGAGGAGGAGGAGGAGGAGGAGGAGGAGGAGGAGGAGGAGGAGGAGGAGGAGGAGGAGGAGAGTTTTCCTCTCTGCAGAGCGGGAGGGAGGGAGGGAGAGGAAAGATCACGACGACATGGTGCGATAGGCCAGGTGCTGTTCGCCAGCCTCGCCCGACGGTGGGGCCACTCTGAGGTGCTGGAGCGCCCACGCGCACGCCTTAGCCTCGAGCGCCGCAACTTGTGGACGAGAGAGAGAGAGAGGGGAAACAAAGCACATCCTTCCCCTAGAAGGCTCCTCCTTCCCCCCCTCCTTCCTCCTCCTCCTTCTCTCCTCCTCCTCTTCCTCCTCCTCCTCCTTCCTCCTCCTCCTCCTCCCCCCCCGCTCCTCTCCTCCTCTCCTCCTCCTCCTCTCCTCCTCCTCCTCCTCCATCTCCTGCTCCTCCTCCCCCTGCTGCTCCTCCCGCACTTTTCCTTTTTTTTATTTCTAATTTTGTTGTTTGTTCTTTTTATCTCAAACCACCTCCTCTCCTCTTCCTCTTCCTCCTCCTCCTCCTCCTCCCTCCTCCTCCTCCTCCTCCTCCCTCCACCTCCCTTTCCCCCTCTCCTCCCCTCCACTCCTCCCCCTCCTCCCCCTCCTCCCCCTCCTCCTCCTCCTCCTCCTCCTCTGCCTCCTCCCTCCTCCTCCGCCTCCTCCTCCTCCTCCTCCTCCTCGTCCTCCGTCCTCCTCCTCCCCCTCCT